TTTTACCTTCCTCTGAAAATCTGGCTCCTTTCTCAGAAGCCATCACAGCCCATTTGCCCCATGGACATTCTCGGGTCCCCTCTGGACCTAGACATTGGGGGCTGTTCCCAAAGCAATTCACTTGCTTCCTTCCAGGCATTGCAAACTGAGCATTTGTGAGATCCCTGCCAGCAGGGGCTCAAGATTTTCCCTTCTCTAGAGTGTCCTGAAGTTTCAGAAATATTGGTATTCTCCATGGTTTCATTTTGAAAAAATTTCCAATTTATAGAAAGGTCAAAAGAATAGGTCCATGAACATCTGTATCTCTTTGCCTCGTTTGCTAACATTCTGCTGATTTGTGTTCTTTCTCCATAAAAAAATTGTTTTTTATCTTTCTTTCTGAGCCATTTGGAAGTAAGGTACCAATACCATGAAACTCACCCCTGAACACTTCAGCAAAGATCTTCCAAGAATGAGAACATTCTCCTATGTAAGCAAAGTGTTATCATATGGAAGAAATTGAACACTCAATTGCCTAATGTACAATCCATATTCAAATTTCCCCAATTGTTCCCACATGCCCTTTATGGCTTTCAAAAAAAAAAAAAAGTCTAGGATCCAGTCAAAGTTCACACAGTTCATTTGGTTTGATATCTCTTTTATTTCTTTTAACGGAGGAAGTCCCCCCTACTTTGCTTGCTATTTTCTCTGGACTCTTGGAAGAACCCCCATCAATTGTCTTATGGACTGTTCTACAATCTCTTTGTCTGTTTCCTTCTGATTAGACTCAGGTGAACCATGTTGGCCATTTCTATAGCATTACATGTGGGGCACACGCTTGGCCTATTGTCCCTGCCAGCTCTGACTATGGACAGGCAGGGGCCACCAGACCTCTCATTACACTCTTTGTCTCTGTAATTAGAACTCCATGGGTGAAACTCTTGAGACCATGCATTTTATTCCCCAGCAACCTTTCACCCAATAGCTTTAGGGTGATCCATTGGTGATTTTTGCCTGAATCTGTAATCATATTGAAGGTTGAAAATGATTCACATATTCCCTCTATATTTATCAGTTGGTTTTATTCTGCAGAGGTCTTTGCCTCCAGCTACTTTAGTTTTTTGAGAGTTACTCTGGACTCATGGATTTTTTTTTTTTTTTAAGTGCAATGTGTTGTAATCTCTTATTGTCAGTTCTTTTTGATGCTTGAATTGTCCAAAGTTGGTCCAGTGAGGGATGATGGCTTGTCCTTTTGCCATGTCCTCATGATTGTTTGAACAATTCCTTGCTTTCTGGCACAGGATGCTCCAGGCTGATCTTTGACTCTCCTTGCTCCATCCAACCCCAGAATCAGCCATTTTTAAAGAGGTCCTGCCTGGTCTCTTTAAAGTTATCAACAATAGTGTGAAATTTTTTCAATAAAGATTCAAGAACTAGAGGTGCTCACTGCAACTGGGTGTCATGCTCTATGAAATTTTACATAGAAGACCTTCAAATATATTAATACCTCCAGTTTAGATTCAATCTCACACAGGCTTCTTCTGTACTTTTTTAATATTTATTTTTTAGTTTTTTAGGTGGACACCATATCTTTATTTTTCATTTTATTTTTATGTAATGCTGAGGATCGTTCGAACCCAAGGCCTCATGCATGCTCGGTGAGCACTCTACCCCTGAGCCACAACCCAGCCCTTCTTCTGCACTTTATTCTCTATTTTCCATTTTCTCTGATGACCCTGATTCCCAACAATTTCAATATGATTCTGAATTTCTTCTGTATTCCAATGAACACAGAATTTTTCCACTGATACCACTGCTTATAATGAACCCACCCAGGTAAGGTTAGGGATTTCTTTGTGGCACTCTTTTCCCCACTTAGAATGTATCTCCCAGGATGCACAGGGAAATGGATTCAAAAAATAATTGTATTATTTTTTTTCTCTTGGAAGTCATGTTATGAATGTGATATGTGGTTAAGTTCATTTGTTTCTGTGTGTATTCAGTGGAGGGTTTGTTTCCATTATTTTAGTGCGTTTTTGAATATGCAAATTCTTGACCTAGTTCAAAAGTCAAAATGGGGGCTGGGGTTGTGGCTCAGTGGTAGCGCACTCACCTAGCACAAGTGAGGCCCTGGGTTTGATCCTCAGCACCTCATAAAAATAAATAAATAGGGGCTGGGGATGTGGCTCAAGCGGTAGTGCGCTCGCCTCAGCACCACATACAAATAAAGATGTTGTGTCCGCCGAAAACTAATAAATAAATAAATAAATAAATAAATAAAATAAAGGTTCATCAACATCTAAAACATATAAAAAAATAAAAAAATAAATAAAATAAAGATATTGTATTCAACTAAAAAATAAATAATTTTAAAAAAGTCAAAATGGTTTAAAAAGGGGCACTCCTATTCATACTCCTCCCTGGGCTCTCACCTCTCCTTTTGTTTCTTATTTATTCTCCCTGGGTGTCTTCCTTCTTCTTCTCTCCCTTCCTCTCTCCCTCCCTTTCTTCCTTCCACAACAAGGAAATACATATCTGTTTTAATTTTCGTTTCTAACACGAGAGATAGCATCACGTACATAGTCGGTCCGCCATATTGATGGGTGCTGCTTCTGTGGATTTGACCAAACCATGGATTGAAAATATTTGGGAAAAAAATGCATCTGTACTGAACATGTTCAACCTTTTTTTTCCTTGTCATTCCTCCCTAAGCAATACAATGGCAACGATTCACATAGCATTTATGTGTTTTTTTAGAGAGAGAGAGAGAGAGAAATTTTTTAATATTTATTTTTTAGTTTTCAGTGGACACAACATCTTTGTTTGTATGTGGTGCTGAGGATCGAACCCAGGCCGCACGCATGCCAGGCGAGCGTGCTACTGCTTGAGCCACATCCCCAGCCCAGCATTTATGTTCAATAGGTACTATAAAAGATCTAGAGATGAGTCAAAATATGGGAGGAAATGTGAAGTTTCTATGTAAAAACTATTCCATTTTAAGGAATGCTTTTTTTATTTTTAATGCCAGGGATTGAACCCACCCAGGGGCCCTTAACCACTGAGCCACATCTCCAGCCCTTTTTATGTTTGATTTAGAGCCACAGTCTCTTAAGTTGCTTAGGGCCTCACTAAGCTATTGAGGCTGGCTTTGAGTTTGTGATCCTCTTGCCTCAGCCTCTGGAGCTGCTGGGATTACAGGCTTGCACCACCACTCCTGGCTAACTATGCCATTTTTTAAAAAGGGACATTTTAAGGGACTGAAGAGTCTGGAACCAATCTCCTGGGGATACCAAAGGAAGTTTTAGTCTGTGGTTGGTTGGCACCATTGCTTTTGGATCTGTGATGAGGCAGCATATCTTGGCAGGGAGCACACGGAGCAGGAAAATCTGATCATCTCATGGCACAGAGTTGAAAGGGAGAGAGGAAGAGACCTGGGTGCCACTGTCCCCTTCAAGGGCATGCCCTCAGTGACCTACAATCTCCCAGTAGGCCCCACCCCTTAAAGGTTCCACCAACTCACAATAGCACCATGGGCTGGGGACCAAGCCAGATTCAAACTATAGCAACTCATTTAATTTTTACATTTATTTATTTATTTATTGTCCTGGAAACCTAATCCAGGGCCAGGCAAGCACTCTACCACTGAGCCACATCCCCAGTCCAGTGCCTTTTATTTTATTTTTTTTGTGGTGCTGGGGATTGAACCCAGGGCTTTGTGCATGCGAGGGAAGCATTCTACCAACTGAGCTATACCCCTAGCCAAAGTGCCTTTTATTTTTCTTAATAAGTGTGTATCGTTTCGAAGAGATCCTCCTCATCTTTAAAAAATGCCTGCACAGCACTCCACTGTGTGGATAGTTCATGGTTTATTCAACCCGTCTCCTACATAAGGACATCTAGGTCATTTTCAATATTTTGCTGTGTTTAACAAACAGTGCTGCGGTAAGCAACCTCGTGCGCGTGTTGATTTGGATTTGTGGGGGGTGTACCTTCAGGGTTAATTCCCAGAAACTATCACTAGGTTAAAGGCTCGACACCTAGAGCATTTTGTTAGATACCATCAAATCCGCCTTTGTAGCATTTGTGCCATTTTACACCCCTCCCCCAATGTGGTGTGAGGATTCCTGTCTTTCCCAATGGTATTGTCAGGCTTGAATTTTTTGTCTGCCTTGGAGGTGACAGATGGTTTCACTCTGGTTTAATTTGCATTTCTCTTAGGAGTGAGGATGAACACATTTTCATATTTATGGAACATTTGTCCTTTTTCTATGAACCCTTTGTCTTTTGTCCATTTTTCTGTCTCCTCTTGATTTTCAAGAGCTCTTTATATATATATCAGGAAGATTTCTCTAGGTCTTGATCCCAGCTCTCTCTGTCCACCCTGCCTGTGACCTTATCTAGCCCATATCACTTCTCACTTGGATTAGAACAATTAGCTCCTAAAACTGGTTCCTGGGCTTGGATGCTTCTCTGTCTCTAATCCATTCTCCGTGTTGGGGCTAGAGTGATTTAAAAAGCAAATCTGGTCATGTCACCATCTCCATGGAAAGGATTCCCGTTGTCTTTGCGATAAGTGATTCCTACTGGACACTGAAGGCTACCTAACCTGGCCAGGTGTCTTCGGGCCCAACTCTCACTTTTATATTTCTCTTCCATTATTCCCTCTGCCCCATTTGGTTGAATCCTTCCTACTTGGTTTTCAGAGCTCAGTCTAAGCATCATCCCCTCAGGAAGGCCTTCATTAATACCACTGTGCCATCTCAGTTCCCGGGGAACCATGACTTTATCCTGTCATTTACTGATCTTGTTTTATCCCTAGACTATAAGCTCCCTGAGGGCAGAGTTTGGGCCTGGGTCCCTGCAAGGCCTAGTAGCATTCATGCTGCTACATGGACAGGTTGCTTGGTACCAGGAAAGACAGGAAGCAGTGGCTGAATGAATGAGTGGTTCTGTGCCCCTTGGAACCAGTCCAGATTTCTGAAGGTGAAGTACTTACTTTCAGAATTATTCAGGTACCAGAGTTTCTTTATAGTGCAACCTTTTTATTCAAAATTGTTTCCCTTATAATCACCAGACAGTTTTGAAAGCCAGTGAGAGGAGGCTCGGGGGGGGGGGGGGGGATCAGAGTTATGTTCCTGCTGACATTTGTTTATTCAGCAGATGTGAATAAATGAAGCCGAAGGTAACAAGGTGTATCTTAGCTTCTCTGGGCTGGACCAGAACCCCTTATTGGATAAACGGTTCAGATTTCAGTCCCAAAGTGCAGTATTACTGCTGTGGACAGAGGATGCTGATTAGCGTTCCCTTTAGTCATTATTATGGAATTGAAAAAAAAAAAAGTCAAATTCAGGTTAGGATGGAGAAAGGAGGAGAAGACTGGCCAGAGACCCTGCGGGGAAATCTGCTGTAGTTTTTCAGAAAACAGGCCACGTTTTTTTTCCTCTTGTTGTTTTGAGAGATGCAGAGTGTTCAGACGGGCAGCACTTTCTGATTTACAAATTGCTCCCCTGGCAGAGTCAACAAGCAGGGCCCATCCTATAGTTAAGTGGATTGGATTAACCAAGGGCAGGATCACAGAGCAAGCAATTGAAACTCCGCTGAAGGCATGGACCATGCCACTCATAGTTTAGTTTGTCGAATCCACTGAGAGCCACCCGGGGATAGAGATGGATTATATTGTGGTCTGTTCCTGGTGCCATCCTGGGCCTCAGACAGACTTGGTTTAGGGAAGGTGTTCCGTGGATCCTCTGGGTCTGGCTGTGGTTGGATTGTTTGGTCCATCATGGTCACTGCGATACTGTATATTGGCAAACTGGGGGACACCAGACAACTCATATCACTTTAAATAGACTTTGACATAACTAGAGCAGGGTTTTGTATGGAAATAATCACCATCAGAGGGTTGGTTAGCTCTGCTGGCTTGGCCTGCAGAGGGTTAACAGCGATTGCACTCATCCTGCCTCACCGGACAGTTTCTCTACTGCCTACCCCCAAAAGGGTTTAAATCTCTAGATCACAGACTGGGGTCACCCCAAGGGCAAGAGAAAACCCTAAGTTTCCACCCAGAACCTTGTCCCCCCACCCCCTGCCCCTTGCTGCCGTCTTCCTCGTAGCCAAGGAGTTTCATTCCACGGGACATCTGTTTGCTTCTGTTACTTTATCCAGCAGGCTTACACTGACCCGAGGAGGGTGACTAAGGGAAACGGAGTATTTTCAGCCAGGGGCCATCATAGTTGCTGTATCAAGTATCTTTTTGGTGCAGTGGATTTCATGACAGGTGTGTTTTTATTCAGGAAAAATAATGCACTTAATTTAGAAGGACAGACTTCCCGTCCAGCAACACCACCCTTCCCATCCCCTGCCCCCACCCCACCCCACTCCACAAGGATCATCTAAAATGATGGCAGCCACCATTTTTTTTTATTGTGAAGAGACCATAAAACTGTAAGCCAGGAGGCCTGGCTTCTGGTCTCCACGTTATCTTAGTGAATGCTCAGACTGAGCCATGGTATACTCCTCAGACATCAGCCCTGCCCCACCAGCCCCCAAGGACTGGGGAGGGGATTAGCAAGATGAAGCTGTGGCTTGGAAAGCTGCAGTGGTCCTGGCTCTGAGATCACAAGGTGGGCGGTGTCCCTGGATTGTGTAAGGTGCCCCCTGCTGTCTGAGCACTCTTTCAGCTCAGGGACATAAAGGACAAGGTGCAGAGTGGAAAGGGGTCTGGGATGGATATTTCCTAAAATTATACTTGCCGCATAATGGAACATCTTTTTTTTTCCTTCTGAACCCTTTTTAACATCTATTTGATAGAAACTGAATTTGCAAAAATTATTATTTTATCAAACGTACATGTACCTAGATTAAAAAGTCAAATAGTGCTAAAAAAAAATTCTAAAAAAACTTAGGTCGTTTCCCTTCCCCATTCTCACCCCCTCTTGCTCCGAGAAGAAACCATCCTTACCTCTTCTTCGAGTTTCCCCTGGTATTCATCCCTGTATTTCTAATTGACGTTGGCTTTATGTTTCTTACTCAGTTTTTCCTTTGTATACACCCATTGGCTTCCTGCCACAGGGGATGAGAACTTGGCTGTCCCACGCAAGTGACTCCGTCACTTCCTTTCACTCCATCCCCCCACAATGGGGTCATATCACAACTTGGTTAAGTTGATAGTCAGTGTTTACTTTAGTATATGACTATGCAAACAGTGCTCAGCTCAAAATGTCCCCCAACTGAACTCTGATCTTCTCCCCCCAAACCTACTTTTGGTTTTAAAACACGTCCATAAATTCTTTGACTCTCCTCCCATCGAGAGAGGGGGAATCTGATCCCCTCCGCATTTCAATATGGTGCCCGGATTCTGAGCAATGGAATGCCGCTGGAGTGAGCTGGGCTGCTTCCAGGGCTGGGTCACAAAGGGCTTTGCAGCTTTCCTCTCTTTAGTGGAACCCGCCCCTTTGGAGTCCTGAGCCATCACTGAAGTCTGGCTAATTCAAAGCCACCGCGTCTCTTTATGTGGAGAGATCACATAAACATAGAGAGCCATGCCCCAGGGAGCCCCTGCTGGCCCACCCCTGAATCTTCTGGAAGAGGCACCAGATACGTGAGGGAGGAAGATTTTTGAGATGATCCCCGCCACCAAGTGAAACTGCCCAGCTGAGCCAGTCAACTATCAGGACCATGACAGTGAATCAATGATTCTTGGTTGACGTCATTCATTTTAGAGATTCATCAATAGATTAGGGGCACATCCTTCCAATCATGGTCTCCTCATCCTTCATGGCCATTTCATCCTTCTGGTTGCTCAGATCATTGTTAATTTTTTTTTTCATATCTACCATCCATATGTCAAGAAATATTTTGACTCTGCCTTTGAAATATACCCAGAATCCAGTTGCTTCTCACCACCTCCAATGCTAGCACCTGGTTCAAGCCACCCTCTTCCAGTTGGGCCATCATTATTGTCTTCCACCTTCTAACTGCAATATCATCCTCCTTCTACCTATTCCCTTCTTCCGTTTTTTCTCAATACATCAGGAAATGCGAACAGGTACGTTAGATCACGTTACAGCTTTGCACAGAACCCTGCAGCAGATCCCGTCTCACTCAGAGAAAATGGCTGAGTTGTCCCAGTGGTCGGAATGACAGGCATGTCCTGGCCTCTCTTATCTCAGTGGCCTCACTGCCTAGCCTTCTCCCCTTCCCAGTCAGTTTCGGGCCCTCTGCTCACTAGTCCTTGAATGAACTATGGTCACTTCTATCTTAGGCCATTTGCAAGAGTTATTCTCCTCATTTCTCTCTTGGAATTAGTCATTGATTTTTTTTTTTTTTTTTTTGTGATGCTGGGAATTGAACACAGGGCCTTGTGCATGCGAGGCAAGCACTCTACCAGCTGAGCTATATCCCCAGCCCATTGATTTATTTTTATTTGAAAAAAAATTTTTGGAGCGGTAGATAGTCAGCAAGCTTTTATTTTATTTGTTTATTATTATGAGGTGCTGAGGATCGAACCCAGTGCTTCACCTCACCCATGCCAGGCAAGCGCTCTGCCACAGGTCCTGTTTTTTTTTTTTTTTTTTTTTTCCTAGTCATCTATTAACAATTGCTCATTTTTCTCCAGACTGCTTCAGTATATCTGGATACTATTTTCTGTATTCTCAAACAAGTCATTTTCTTTGATTCCTTGGGCATCTCCCTCTTCACCCTGCTGACCTTTTGCTCCCCTCTGTACTGGTTGTTTTCTATCTGTTCTTCTCTTGCAAGTTCCCTCTTCACTGCTGTCCTGGGTTATATCCCATAATTCCTAGTCCCACATCATCTTTTTAAAAAATATTTATTTTTTAGTTGTAGTTGAACACAGTATCTTTATTTATCTATGTGGTGCTGAGGATCGAACCGTTCATGTGTATCTGAAATGCTTTTATGGCACCTTCATATTACATTTTTAAAAAATATTTATTTTTTAGTTGTAGTTGTCAATAACTTTATTTAATTTATTTATTTTTATGTGGTGCTGAAGATCGAACCCAGGGCCTCGCACATGCTAGGCAAGCGCTCTACCGCTGAGCCACAACTCCAGTCCCCTCATATTACATTGATCATCTAGTTAGAATATTCTAAGCCAAAAGTAATATTCACACATAAATTTGAAGCCATTATTTTCTAACTTGAGTGTGGCTAGTGAGAAGTCCAATGCCATCAATACTGATATTTTTTGTGTTTATTTTTTTTCCCTCCCTGGAAGCTTTGAAAATCTTTATTCTGTAATTTATGTTGATGCCTCTTGGTGTGGATCTTGAACTGAGTCTGGCAATTAGTGGAGTCTTTCAACCTAAAGAATCATATTCTTCAGTTCTGGGAAATGGTATTATTTTTTATTATAATTTCTTTCATTCTGCTTCTCTTTCCCCCTGCTCTCTTCTTATAGAATTATTATTATTATTTTTCTTTTTTGGTAATGGGGATTGAACTCAGGGGCACTCAACCACTGAGCCACATCCCCATTTCTATTTTTCATATTTTTATTTAGAGACAGGGTCTCACTGAGTTGCTTAGTGCCTCACCATTGCTGAGGCTGGCTTTTGAACTCACGATCCTCTTGCCTCAGTCTCCCTTGCTGCTGGGATTACAGGTATGTGCCACCACGCCCAGCTTTCCTTATATAATTCTTTACAGTTGGAAATTGGACTTCCTGTATTGCCTCAATTATTATTACAATTTGAGCATTCCTAATCTGAAAATCTGAAATCTGAAATGCTTTAAAACCTGAAAAATTATGATACTCAAAAACATTTCTGACTTGGAAACATTTTGGATTAGGGTTGTTCAACTAGTAAAGTCTATGCAAATATTCCAAAATCTGAAGAACTCTGAACTCTGAAACATTTCTGATCCCACGTATTTTGGATAAGGCACACTTCACCTGTATTTAAAAATCTTTACTATAAGATCTTTCTGTTAGTCAGCTTTCTGTTACTGTGACAGAATACCTGAAAAAAAAAAACTTATAAGGAGGAAAGGTTTATTTTCAGAGGTTTCAGTTCACAGTCACTGGACCCTGATGCTCTGGACCTCTGGTAGCACCGTACATCACGGGGGTGTGTGTGTGGCATAGGAGACCTGTTCACCTCATGGAAGCCAGAAGCTGAGGAACAGGAAGGAGCCAGGGTTTCCAGATTGCCTTCAGAGATGTCCCAGTGACTTAACTTCCTTCCACTAGGCTCTGCCTATTGAAGGTTCTACCACCTCCCAATGGTGCCACGGACTAGAGACCAAGTCTTTACCACATGAGTCTTTGGGGAATATTAAAGATCCAAACTGTCACAGGCAGCAAACTGGCTTTTTAATTGGAATTGGACTCCAAAATGGCAAAATTTGGAAGTTGGTCTTTGAGCCATTTAGCTGTCCATAAAGAACATCTCAAGGCTCTTATGACTATGGAGGTGGGGAGGGGCACAGGGGTGGGGGAGAGGACCAGGGTAAGCCCGTCAATGGGGCTGCTGCTGGCTTTCAGAAGTGGGAGGAGGGGGTGGAATCACCCAGGCCACTTAGTCCCCTGGTTTTGGTTCCATGACTCATTTTTCTCAGAGTCCTCAGGACCAGAATCTGCAAGCCCAGTCCGCTCTGCTTGTTGGCATCCCGGTCTCCAGGGACCTCGGTAGCAAGCGGTTCCCAGCTCTGCTGAGTCAGTTCCCATTCCTCCTCATCTTCCAAGCATGCGTAGAACTCTCCATGTTGGTCTCTTCCCTCATTTCATTTCCTAATGGGTCCGTAAGTCCTCTGTGCCCGTATTGCCGGGTAGTGGTTTTGGAAGGGAGAAGGGAGTCGTCTGTCATCCTTGCTCAGACTGCATTCTAACAACCGAACTGGCTGTTTGCTCAAAGATGAGGGGCAGTGGTTAGAGAAGCAACCTGTGTGTGAGATTCTCACCCACGTATCCACACATGCCTTACACGTGGGAGCCCCCGTGAGAGGAGCCGGTGCACGGAACACCCAGAGGGTGGACATGGTGCCCAGCTGGTGGAGTGACCATGAGAATGAGATGCTCCCATCCAAGGCTTAGCGTAGAGCCTGGCATTTGAGTACTCTAGTGACAGCAATTATAATTATTCTTATGATCTTGGGATGAACTTGATAATGGCTCCAGGGATGTAGGTGAAATTCTATGTATTTTAGTCTGTGTTCTGAAGCCAGACGCCATCTTCTGCTGACTTCTCCTTCAAAGGCCACTAGTCATGGAGGTCTTTGATTTGAGGAAGCAGTGGGCCCTGGCTGCTCATCCCAACTCACCTGGAATGTTCTTGTTTCTTGGCAGGAACCTGTCTCTGCAATTATGGTCACATTGTATCCTTCCCCTTCCAGCTTCTAAAGTTTTCTTTTGTCCGTTTCTACTCATATATATCTTTTGCAACACAAATTTTGTTACATTAATTTGTAACAAAGAGGACTGGATTTTGGTTCTGTCTTTGCCACTAACCGCCTAGAAGCAGCTCAAACCTGACATCTAGATTTTATTTGCCTGGTTCGAATCCCAATTCTGCCATTGAAGAGCTGTATCCCATCAGCAAATGTTCAATCCTCTAGGGCCTTAGTTTCCTCATCTGTCAAATGAGGATGATAATAATAGTGCCGAATTCAGAGCTACCATAAGGATTAAAGAGATAATCCATGTAAAGCACCCGGCCTAGTACTCAGAGTTCAAAAAAAGCTAGTGATGGCTGTTATTACCTTTCCCAATTTAACCCTCCTGCAAACTTGGTAGCTCCAGGCACAACTGCAGATGAGGACTCTTACGGGTAGGAAGCTTTTCCAAGGGCTGAAGCAAAGGAAATGTGATCTCCTTGATTTTGTTTGTAGCATCTACTAGATCACATAGCAACAGAGCAACATAGCAACTAAATGAGAGCAATTCCATTTTGTTCCAAGTCTGTCTACTTGCCTTTTAAAAAAAAATCATTTGGACTTAAAAAAAACAAAACAAAAACAAAACCCAAAACTTCTTGAGTAGATTTCACGTCATGCAGAGAAACTCTAAAGTAAAGGTGGTATTTCT